GCTCACTGCAAGCTCCGCCTCCCGGGTTTAGGCCATTCTCCTGCCTCAGCCTCCCGAGTAGCTGGGACTACAGACGCCTGCCACCTTGCCTGGCTAGTTTTTTGTATTTTTTTTTTAGTAGAGACGGGGTTTCACCGTGTTAGCCAGGATGGTCTTGATCTCCTGACCTCGTTATCCGCCCGTCTCGGCCTCCCAAAGTGCTGGGATTACAGGCTTGAGCCACCGCGCCCGGCCAATTTTTCTGTTTTTAAAATTTTTGTAGACATGGGGTCTTGCTATGTTGCCCAAGCTGGGTCTCAAACTCCTGGCCTCGTGATCTTCCCACTTCAGCCTCCCAAAGTGCTGGGACTATAGGTGTGAGCCACCATACCTAGTCTGTTCTCAGATATTATTGTGCATAAAAGAGGTTTAAAATGCAGATTACCAGTTACCTATCCACCCGCACCCCAAGGTTCTGCTTTAGTAGATTGAGGGTGGAACCCCGGACCCTTATTTCTAACAAGTACTCTGTGTGGCTCGAGTGCCAGTGGTCCACGGGTTATGCTTTGAGAAACATTGCTGCCTATAACCTGGCTCCTGTCCCCACAACCCATGACACTACCCTAACCAAGGCCCTAGCTTTGTTGCCAAGACTTTTTTTCCTTCCTTGTCTTACTGGACAATATTTTCCATTTGGCCACAGGATGAAATGACTAGGGGTTGTACAGAGTGGGATGAGGAAGGCAGGGTCACACAGGGTGAGACAAGTAAGGCAGGGTCGTACAGGTGCAGGGTCAGATCCTGTCTGTTTAACACTGTGATGTCTTATTCATCTCATCATGGATTTGTTGTTGTTGTTTGAGACAGAGTCTCACTCTCACTCTGTCACCCAGGCTGGAGCACAGTGGCGCCATCACAGCTCACTGCAGCCTCAACCTACCGGGCTCAAGCCATCCTCCCACCTCAACCTCCCAAGTGGCTGGGACTACAGGCATGCACCACCACACCCCCAACTAATTTTATTATTTTTTGTAGAGACAGGATCTTGCTGTTGCTGTTTCCCAGGCTGGTCTCAAACTCCTGTGCTCAAGCAACCCTCCCACCTTGACCTCTCAAAGTGCTGGGATTATAAGTGTGAGCTACCATGTCTGGCCCATCATGGACTTCTTAATATTAATTTGATTATTTTAAATAGCGCATTGAAATATTATTTGATAACTGAATTTTTTGGTGCCCCTTTAAATTTCAGACCCCAGGCAAGTGTCTCCCTCACCTCACCCTAGTCCTGGCCTTGCTTGACCACTGCCTCCTCTTCAGCTGTCCTCTCTTCTACCTTCTCCCGCTATTTCTCAGTTGCTATTGCAGGATCTCTCCCACCCCAATCCCCCACTGAAATGTCAGTGTGTCTGAGCATTCTGTGTTTTTCTTACTTGGTCATTGCACTTATTACATTAGGCATTACATCATTCTTCTTCATTTCTCAAGTGCCAATCATAGTGCCTAACATTTAGTGAGTACTCAGTCAGTGCTTACTAAATGAAGGAACCATGCTTTTACTAAACAGTTGTAGAATCAGTGTTCTACACCTAGAATTATTCATAATTCCCTAACCTTTTGCAACCTTGTCATACAACAGAAAAAATAGACTGCCTGAGGTGATAACAGTGTTTTGAATTAATAAACCGACCTCTCCTACTGAGCCCTCCAGTTACGGTGGATTTTGGAGGAAAACAAGTCAATATAATAGCATCATAGCATCATTATTTTTTGCAAAATTGACTACCACAAAGTCTCATATAAGCCTAAACCCTTTTTCCAACCTTGAACTTTCAGAATAGATCAGTAAAACTAAGGATTTGCATATTAAATGATAAAATTAGTTACCATTTATTGAGTCTTTTTTTGTTTTGTTTTGTTTTTTTTGAGACAAAACCTCACTCTGTTGCCCAGGCTGGAGTGCAGTGGCACAATCTCGGCTCACTGCAACCTCCACCTCCCGGGTTCAAGCGATTCTCCTTCCTCAGCCTCCCGAGTAGCTGGGATTACAGGCATGCGCCACCATGCCCAGCTGATTTTTATATTTTTAGTAGAGATGGGGTTTCACCATGTGGTCCAGGCTGGTCTTGAACTCCTGACCTCAAGTGATTCACCCTCCTCAGTGCTGGGATCCCAAAGTGCTGGGATTACAGGCACGAGCCACTGGGCCCAGCCTATTGAGTCTTCTTATGTTCTAGGCACTGAGATTATATACTGTGCAAATATTATCTCATTTGGGCCTAACACCCAGCCTAATAGGTGATTGGTATTATTCTATTTTATAGATAAGAAAGATGAGCCTTGAAAAGGTTGAGTAATTTACTAGCAAATGGTAGAGATAAGGTTAGAACCGGGTATCTGTCCGAAAGCCTATACGCCATCGCGTCTCCTACTCAGTGAACCATGCAGACCACAGCTCCACCTGCGACACCACACTGGGAGTTCATCTGCAAAGCCCCCTCCATCCATTTGTCTACAAGCCAGAAAGCCTAACAGTAACAGTTAGAATCGGAGTCAGACTGTCTAGGTTCAAATCCCGGTTCCAGCAGTTCACTGTGGGACCTTGTACAAGTTATTGCCCTGTGATTGTTACCTCATGTTACTCAGTAAGTAAATGGAAATGCTAACAGCACCCACTGGAGGGCCATGGTGAGGATTATATGAGACAATGCAAGCAAAGCAGTTAGCACAGTGCCCCGCACACAACAGGAGCTGGTACTTGTTAGCTACTGCTGACCTTGTGGCCCCAACATTGCTCCTTCATCCCCTGTTCTCTAGATCCAGGACTCAAACAATGTGTTCTGGAACCAATTCCTGGAAATAGTAGACCAGAAATATGTACAGTGAGTGACTATGAAAACAAGACTAGCTGGGTGTGGTGGCTCACGCCAGTAATCTCAGTACTTATGGGAGGCAGAGACAGGAGGATTGCTTGAGCCCAGGAGTTCAAAACCAGCCTGGGCAACATAGCAAAACTCCATTCTCCACAAAAAGGAAGAAAAAAACAAACAAAAAATAAAGCTGGCATGCTGGCTCACGCCTGTAATCCCAACACTTTGGAAGGCTGAAGCAGGAGGATTGCTTGAATCCAGGAGTTTGAAACCAGTCTGGGCAACATAGTGAGACCCGTGTCTCTACAAAAAATACAGAAAAAAAATAGCTGGGCATGGTGGCACGTACCTGTAGTCCCAGCTACTCAGGAGATTGAGACAGGAGGACTGCTTGGGCCCAGGAGTTCAAGGCTACAGTGAGCCGTGATTGCACCACTGTGCTCCAGCCTGGGCAACAGAGTGAGACCCTCTCTCAAAAAAAAAAAAAAAAAGAAAAGAAAAGAGTAGCCCAGGACAGAGGAAACAGAAGGTGAAAAAAACAAAAGTTTGTCAGCCTAGCCTGAAGAAAAAGGGGAAAATGCACTGAGGCAGGAACGGGGCAGAGGTTGAGGGAGCAGGGTGGGGACAATGTAGGAATAAAAAGACCACCACGTGGGCTGATGCCTGGCCCCAGCTATGGCGGCAACAGGCAGGGGAGCCTGGCTCCAGAGCAAACACTATTTTTGCAGTAAAGAGCCTTTCCTAATGAGCCAATCTGTCTCTACTTCTATTGGCATCCTGGGAACCAGGGTGCAGCAGAGATAATTTGCTTCACACACCCCCCGCCCAAACAAAGCACCATTACCTCCAACCCATTACATTAGCCTTTATCAGCCTTGGAAGCTCTCAGTCATCCTCCATGAGCTGCAATAATTTCAGCTAATTTCTTAAGTGTTCTAAGAGCCTCTGATGTGTTATGAGCCTAGTAATTGTTGACTGGTTCCTTTTCTGTTGTGGCTTGATTTCATACCTTGTATCCGAGCTGATGCGTGCTCTGGGTACTTGATTATAATGAGGCTTTTTGCAAAGACTCACATTAAAAAATAACATTAAATACTGAGGTTGGTTTAAATCAGAGTTTAATTTTTCCACCATCCCCTATTATTCTTATTAGGAAGCCAATTCTTCATAAGGATAGTGACCTCCAGTGTAAAACTTTGAACAAGTACAAAAATTGAGAATTAATGATGAAGCTGGTTCTTTTTAGGGAAATCTAAGAATGAGGCACAAAGTCATGAACTATGCTGAGACCAAGGCTGCAACAGGCACGGCTTAGAGAGGTTTGGGATATTGACTCCCAGCCTTCTCCAGGGGTCCTTAATTCATCAGAGCCTCCTTGTTCCCTAGAGAGCCTGTAAGAGCCAAGGTGGCTGAACGGCCGCAGAGGAGCTTCCTGGAGAACAGTGAACAGCTAGCACCCCCTTCCCCCGCATCCTGTGTGTATTGCCACTTCCCCTTCAGCCGGTAGCCCCTCTCAGGGTAAAGGGGCACAGTTCAGCTACTTGGCCACCCTGAACCCTGGGTGGTACCAGAAATTAGGCACAGACTCTGGCTTCTGTGTGAAAAACCACCCTGAAAGTCACTCTTTAACGTGTCATACAGCTATGTCACTGACTCATGTTTAGAAAAGCTTCTCAGGTCCATTGGCATCTTCTTATCAGCTGTAAGCAGGTGAGTTCTGTTCTAGCGTGATTCTGGGGGTCTCAGTGGCATTTCAGGCTCATGATGTCCTTGGCATTCACACCACCCAGGGCCACGGATTCCTGTTAGCAGTGGGTTCCTCGTAGCTCTCGGGATGGGCCCAGAGGTAATGTCCACCGGGCTCCTGCTCTAGTTGCTCCCCCATCCCGTGCTCTCCAGTGGCGCTTCACTAGACAGCACTCTCTTGGTTGTCAACTGCAGAAAACCACCTCATGTTGGACTTAGAAAAAGAAAAATTATTGGCTCACTTAACTGGAAAAGCCCAGAGGGTAGAAATATATATTTCAGCCCTGACTAGATCCAGGCCTCAAACAATGTCATCAGTACTTGGCCTCCCTCTCTGTCTTTTTCCCCATTTCTGTGTCTTCTCCTCTGTGTTCATAGACCTGTGTGTGCCGTGGTCCTCAGGAGCTCCAGACACACCAAAAACAGAGCAGATCCTTTTCACAGCTTCCCAAGAGAGTCCTAGGCTTTGAGCCTCATTGGATCAATTTAGGTCCCATGCCCAGCCGCAAACCAACTTCTACAGTCAGAAGGGTGACATACCCTGTCACCTCCTCACCCCACCAAAACTGCATGGCCCATGAGAGGCAGAGGGGCGATTCCCCAAGTGACAGTTGGTATTACAAGAAGAAGGAGAAGAGATGCTAGAATGGCAAAACCAAAAACTGTCCCTAGTATAGAATTCCAGCATTTCCTGCTGGAAGGAAGAATTTCCACACTTTTGTGTCACTTGACCTATGGACATTTCCTGGATAGGAGGGCAAAGTATGTGAAAGGGTACCTTGGGATCTCTTTGAAAGCTCAGTGCAAAGGAACTTGACAAGAGTCTTATTTCTACTTTTCTATCCCTCTGGACAGTAATCGGTACCTTATAGAATTTCTTGAGGTTGGAGGTGTCCTGACACTCTTGGAAATACTTGGGCTGGAGAAGATCAAGGAGGAGGCCAAGAAGGAATCCGTCAAACTACTTCAGATTATTGCAAACTCTGGCAGGACGTACAAGGAGCTCATTTGTGAAAGCTATGGTGGGTACTGTGTATGACAAGATGTGTCTCCCTAGGGACCTCAATGAAATGGTGGCAGAACCCACCACTGCTATAGGAAAAACACATCATAGAACTGGTTGAACAGGAAGCTTTTTGTGCTCTTGTTCATGTCACCACTAGAAAACCCAGATTTATGATTCTCCTGATTCATCATTTGGTCACATTTTTCAGTAGTGGTTTTAGAAATACTTCTCCTTTTTAAATATATCCTGTTTCAAGCATCCATTCAAAGATTTATTGAGCTGTGGCCCAATATCTTTTGTGAAATTGAGTTATGAGGCCGGGCCCAGTGGCTCACACCTGTAATCCTAGCACTTTGGGACACCGAGCGGGGAAGATCATCTGAGGTCGGTAGTTTGAGACCAGCCTGACCAACATGGAGAAACCCCGTCTCTACTAAAAATACAAAAAAATTAGCCAGGTGCGGTGGCGGGGGCCTGTAATCCCAGCTACTTGGGAGGCTGAGGCAAGAGAATTGCTTGAACCCAGGAGGCGGAGGTTGCAGTGAGTTAAGATCTCACCATTGCACTCCAGCCTGGGCAACAAAAGTGAAACTCCATCTCAAAAAAAAAAAAGAAAAAAGAAATTGAATTATGAATAACTCAAGAAATAAAATTGAAGGCCAGGTGCAGTGCTTCACACCTGTAATCCCAGCACTTTGGGAGGCCAAGGCGGGTGGATCACCTGAGGTCAGGAATTTGAGACCAGCCTGGCCAACGTGGCAAAAACCCCTCTCTACTAAAAATACAAAAATTAGGCCAGGCGCAGTGGCTCACGCCTGTAATCTCAGCACTTTGGGAGGCAGAGGCAGTCGTATCACGAGGTCAGGAAATCAAGACCATCCTGCCTAACATGGTGAAACCCCGTCTCTACTAAAAATACAAAAAAATTAG